TATTTATCTCTCATCTCTCCATCTCTAATCTATCTATCTATCTATCTATCTATCTATCTATCTATCTATCTATCTATCTATCTATCATCTATTTATCTCTCATCTCTCCATCTCTAATCTATCTATCTATCTATCTATCTATCTATCTATCTATCTATCTATCTATCTATCTATTATTTATCTCTCATCTCTCCATCTCTAATCTATCTATCTATCTATCTATCTATCATCTCTATCTATCTGTCTGTCTATCTATCTATCATCTATTTATCTCTCATCTCTCCATCTCTAATCTATCTATCTCTCCATCTCTAATCTATCTATCTACCTACCTACCTACCTACCTACCTACCTACCTACCTACCTACCTACCTACCTACCTACCTACCTATCTATCTATCTGTATGATGGATATAAATGAGATATAGATATGGATAGATGATGAATAGATGATGAGACGGATGGATATAGATTAGATAGATGTGTGTTCATACCGATCTACACGTTCCCCGCATAGGAATCTACACTTTCATCATCCCCAAACACGTACGCAACGCACGTGTACACACGCAATTCCCGCAGCCCACGAATGGCTTCTAAACCTTCACAGCTTTCACTTTTAAACAGGGACGATCAAGCCACTAGTCCTCAGCGAGTTGTCTCCCCTCCACCACTACCCCAGTCCCAGGCCACGTGGCCGTCTGCCTCGGCTCCAAACCCGCCGGCCTAGAGAACCTCCATTGAGTCCAAAGAAGCCCACGGGGAACGGCGCCGCGTGGTCTGCTGGGGATTGTAGTCCGGCGGGGAAGGGAGTTAGGCCTGGCCAAGCGGCCTCCCGTGCGAGGTCCAAACCCGAGTCTTTCGGGGGTCAAGAGTCCCTCCCGCAACACCGCCGGAGACTCACCCCGCATGGCCGCACCGAGCCCGGCGGTCTTCATCGATCCGCCGCTTCGGATGGAGGAAGATCCACGTTGCAGGCCGTCCAGCTGCTCCCCTCGCCATGTCTTCCCTCGGAACTCTTCCATCGCTCCGCCCCTTCTGCGCACGTGATCTGCCGCGATCAATGGGTTTCTCCTCCCGCTCTCGGGCGCTCGAATACACTCAGCCGTTCGACCAATCACTAAAAGGGGCGGGACCAAGAAAGGGAGCATGACATGCCCACCCTCAATGAACGTGTAGTTTTTTTTTCCTCCCGCCCTAGGGCGTTTAAAGTTCGGAATGAACCAGGCGTCCAACCAATCACGACTGGAGGGGGCGGGACCAAGAAAGGGAGTATCATCTTACTATTTCCGGTGTTAATTGCCGCCCTCAAAGAGCGTGTAGTTTTTTCTGGCACTTCAGACTCCCGAAGAAGGAATGAATCAGGCGTCCAACCAATCACGATCGAGGTTCGGACTCCAGGGGTGGGACGGAGGACGGACTTACTACTTCCGATCTGAAGTTGCACTTAATAGAGAACAGACAACGTGATGATAATAATATCTACTATCTATAATAATAATAACACCCACCATCAATAATAACAAACAATAACAACAACCAACAATACTTACTTTCCTTAATATAGTATTTGATATAATTCTAAAGAATATTAATGTTTTCTGAGGAGCTATTATAGATTTTATAACTTCTTCCAATTCCTGTTGGTGAATAAAGAGTTCTATACAATCGGAACCTTTCTTATTTTTCATAGATCTATGTCTTCATTTAAATAGATAAGCTACTCTGATTTTTTCTAAAATCACAGATCTATGTATCGGGTAAATTTGTATACTATCTCGGAACCTTTCTATATTTAATAGATCTATGTCTTCGGATATACTATTCTTTATTAATATTTATACTATCCCGGAACTTTTCTTTAATTACATAGCATATGAAAATATGAAAACATTATACCGTACTACTATCCATTATTAATATTTATATTGTCCATGAACTGGTCTACTATTTCATATAGCTATCTCTTCGTATAAATATTTATAGTACTCCGGAACCTTTCTAAAATTTCATAGATCTTTGTCTTCGGATGAACATTTATACTATTCTCCTTTATTAGTGTTTATACTATTCCGGAATCTTTTTATTATATCTTAGATCCATGTCTTTGGATGAACATTTATACTACACCGGAATCTTTCTATTTTTCATCGCTCTACCTTCGCTAGTTCGGGATTGGTTCACGCATGCGCTTCGGGCCTCCGACGAGCCGGCTAGCCTTAGTCTCTTCTCCTCGGAGGAGGACTGACGTCAGTCCTCCACCTAGCCGAGCGTCGTCTCCAGGAATGAAGGAGAGGCGCGCGCGCGGGGCATGCCGGGAACGCCGCCGACGCCCAAGATGGCGGCAGTATTAAAAAGTTGGTGCCGGGGCGGCGGCGGCGGCGCTTTTCCGAGCTCGGCTTGAAGCCTCTGGGGGCTTTCCCAAGGCGGCGATGGCGGGGCAGTGAAGGGCGAGGGGAGCCGGCGGGGAAGATGCCTCCGGGCCCCGCCTGAGACATGGAGGAGGAAGGCAAGAGGGGCAAAAAGGTGAGAGGGGCGTGGCCTTTGGGCCAGAGGGAGGGGCTTGTTTCTATGGGGGCGGGGGGAAGGCTTCTGTAGGCGGTGGCTTCGCACTACAGAGCCCATCCTCCAAAAGGGTGATCCACTAAACCAGAGAATATCGTCAATGGCTTAGGACTACAAAGCCCATCTTTCAAAAGAGTGACCTGCTACACAGTCTATCATCAATGGAGACAACAGAGCCCATCCTCTAAAAAGTCGATCTGCTATAGAGCCTGTCACCCTTGGACTACATAGCCCATTGTCCTCTCTGCGACTTGGGCATCCTGGCAGGAGAGTTGTGCTGATTGGGCTTTGCTCCCACCCCCACCCTGAATTTGGTCTTGGACTACAGAGCCCATCATCCCAAATGGTAATGGACTTGGACTCAATGGTATCGGTCTACGTAGCACATCATCCTCCACCTTCGGCCTTCTAGAGTTCTGCTGGGTGCATTTTCTCCACACACACACCCAAATTTGGCTTTGAACTACAGATCCCAGTGCTGGACTCTAGAGCCCATCATCCTCAATGGTGTTGGAATATATAGCCCATCGTCCTCTCTGCCTTGGGCATCCTGGCAGGAGAGTTGTGGTGGTTGGGCTTAGCTCCCCCCCCCCCCCAAATCTGGGCTTGAACTGTCGTCCTCAATGGCGTTGGACTACAAAGCCCATTGTGCCCTCTACGCCTTGGACATACTCGGGTGGCAGGAGGGCTGGGCTGGTTGGTCTTTATTCTCCTCCCCCCCAAATTTGGAGTGGGCTTGGAGCACACAGAGCCCTTCATCGAAATGGACTAGAAAGTCCATTACCCCAAATGGCAATGGACTACAAAGCCCATCATCCTTGCCACCCCTTGGGCGTCCTGGGGGATGGTGGACTCTGGGGTTCATGGATGGAGGAGCTGTACTGGTTGGACTTTTTTCTCTCCCCCTCTCTCCTCCAAAAGGGTGAAGGGCTACAGAGCCCATCATCCTCTGCGCCAGGGCATCCTTGGTGTGCTGTGCTGGTTATGTCTCCTGAGTTTCAAGGTTCCTTCCCCTGATGGTCCTTTGCCTGCATGACCAAAATAGATCTGATAGCCCATTTTCCCCATAATTCAAATTAATGAATTTCTATTCTTCACTCCAGGAGATTCTTTCTCTCTCTCCTTCTCTCTCGCCCTCTTTTTCTTTCTCTTTCCCTTGTTCTCTCATTCTCCCTTTGTCTCTTAATCTGCCTCTCCCTCTTTCTCTGTCTCTCTCTCACATTTCTCCCTTTTTCATTGTCTTTCCCTCATTTTCTCATTCTCTCTCTTATTCTGCCTGTTTTTCTCTCTCCCTCCCTCCCTCCCTCCCTCCCTCTCCCTCTTTCTTTCCCTCCTTTTCTTTTTCTTTATTACTTTCCCCCGTTTTCTCATTCTCATTTTTTCTCTCTCATTCTTTCCCTCTTTCTCTCTTTCTTTTTCCTTCCCTCATTCTTTCATTCTCTCCCCCACTCTGTCTCTTTCTCTCTCATTCTTCTTTTAATCTCTCAATTCTTACTTTCCTTCCTCCCCTCCCCTTCTCTCATTCTCTTTCTCATTCTATCCCATTCTCTTACTTTTACAATTACCTCGGGACTAGAACTCCCAGTCTCCTGGTTCCTTGGTCAGCACAGGGTCCATGAAGTTTTGAAGGTGGATATTAGATGGGAAATTTGTCAACCATCTTGACTATACCAAAATGGAATGAATACTGTAGATAGATAGATAGATAGATAGATAGATAGATAGATAGATAGATAGATAGATAGATAGATAGATAGATAGATAGATGATAGCTAGATAGATAGATNAGATAGATAGATAGATAGATAGATAGATAGATAGATAGATAGATAGATAGATAGATAGATAGATAGATAGATAGATGATAGCTAGATAGATAGATGATAGATAGATAGATAGATAGATAGATAGATAGATAGATAGATAGATTGATATTTTTATATTTTTAAGGGTGTGTTTATATATATATATACATACATGCGCGCACACACAAACACACATAAAGGATGTGGTATTACCGACAGCCCTCATAGTTTCTCACACTTCCTGTCGATCTATTATGGTTACAAATGCCATAAATAAAGAAATTTCTTTTCCTTAGTAAATGTGTTGGCTTTTACCTAGGAAAATTTTTTAAACGGAAAAGCTCGTGTTTTTCAGAATGAAATTTGCAAAGGCAGAGAGTCCTTCCAACTTTCACATGTGTCATCCAAACAAATTTCATGCCACAGTCACACACAAAAATCCGTGAGATGAACCCGTTGTCCTCCCTGCCCCTAGAGATAGCTTTTTATTTCATAACAGCTGAAACGAGATCAAGATCGTTCCAATTAATTCTTGCAATTAATTCTTGCAATTAATTCCTGACTGGTTTCCCTTGTGGAATGGAATTCATCCTTCAGGGTAATTGTGTACATTTCTGAATTAACACTTTGGTGTGGGGGGGAAGATCTACCCGATCATAACCGACTTACCACTACAATGGAGCCTGAAACGCTAAGGGAGACAGTTGTTCAGGGAGGGTGTCCCAGTTATGTGACTTTTCTTTCCACCGGTAAGTGAATCACCGCTGTTGGTCCACTAGGAAGCTGGTTGTTGAGTCGATCCTGCTTCCTGCTTGAGAGAAAGTCACAAAAGGGGACACAACAACGGCCCTAAATATGAACCAGTGATCCTTTTGTTGCCTTGCTTAACAACAGTCACAATTGTGAGCCAAGGACGGCCAGAATTATGGCTTGTTCCAAAGGATGTAGGATAGTTTAGGGTCATATTTCTCAAAGTCGGCCACTTGGAAGATGTGAGGACCTTTCATCCTTTTTAAGACAGGGGGACTTCAATTCCCAGAATTACCCAGCCAGGTATCTGAGGAATTCTGGGAGTTGAAGTCCCCCATGGCTTAAAGTTGCTGAAGTTGAGAAAGACAGGCTCAGCGGTTAAAATAGCTGATCGGGAGCAGCGAAACCTAGTCCTCCCGCATCTTAAGAGAGTCCATTAATTCTCTTCCCCCATTGAAAATTAAAAAAAGATTTCGTGGCTTGCCTGAAGTCTACACAATCCGTTTGATATTTACTCTCACTATGTTGGTTGTGTGTTGTGTTGGATGGAGTTTTGTTGAAACACTGAAGAAGCCACAAGTGTTGCTTAAACTCCTTCTGAGACCATCTTGAATGCTCCGGGATTCTCATTCGGTCACGTTTAAATCCGTGGTCGCTCTCCGTGGTCTCGTCCTGCCGTTTGGAGGCCCGTGTGATACACTCAAGACGCTCTTTTGCAAAGATTTGAGCACCCTACCCCCCCAAAAAAAACCATCTCACCTCTACAGTTGTTTCCTTGGGGGAGTATCTCGGATTTTTTCCCCTCGCCGATAGCTGGTTGTTGCGCTCACCAGCTCCATCCGTTGGGGGAAGCTGTGGTTTTCTCTGCATCCGCTCTCACTCATGAGAAACAGTTGTCAGTCAGCCCTCCCTTTCTGCAAATGCGCGAGTCTTTATCTCTGGTAAGATAAGTAACTCTCTGGTAAGGCGGCCGACGGCAGACTCTTCCAGGTAGTTCCACTTCCAGAGGATAACGATGGAAAACGAGGTAAGGGACCGGTGATCGTCCCGTCGTCTTTGCAGGAATGGCGTGGATTTTTTCCTCTCTTCGTTGCCCCACCCCCTAAACCCTTCTCTCCCCTGCCCGTCCGAAACTCCCCACTCTTGATTCCGTCAAACGCGGGCAACCCGCTCTTCTCCCCCCCCCCATCTCTTTACTTGCAGCCTGGGATCGTCTCCCCGTTCAAGCGGGTCTTCCTGAAAGGGGAGAAGGGGCGCGACAAGAAAGCCCAGGAGAAAGTCACCGAACGGCGGGCGCTGCACACGGTCCCGTTGGCTTTGCCGGATCGCTTCGAGCCGGACGTCCTCTTGAATGACTACATCGAGAAGGAAGTGAAGGTAAGGCTGACCTCGTCTTGAATGGAGAGACGTTTGAAGGGACTCGTAGAGCGGGAAGGGACCTTGGAGGTCTTCCCCCCTGCTCAGGCAGGAGACCCTCGTCTCCTCTTCTTCCTCCTCCTCCTCCTCCACTTCATAACAAACTTTTTTTTCCCAATATATTTTTATTATTTTTACATTTAAAACAATGCAGTACTGCGAAGTTGAAGTGCCCATACATTCACATTATATACAGCTAGTCTCAACCATTGACAATTAGCCTACTTAATACATTGAAGAGCCGAGGTGGCGCAGTGGTTAGGGTGCAATACTTCAGGCCACTTCAACTGACTGCTATCTGCAGTTCAGCGGTTCAAATCTCACCGGCTCAGGGTTGACTCAGCCTTCCATCCTTCCGAGGTGGGTGAAATGAGGACCCAGACTGTGGGGGGCGATATGCTGACTCTGTAAACCGCTTAGAGAGGGCTGAAAGCCCCATGAAGCGGTATATACGTCTAACTGCTATTGCTATTGTCTGTCCTTCTGTCCAATCGCAATACATATACAGCTTGTTCCAGTCTTGTCACCTTGTCTTATACCAGTCATAAAATCTGTTCCAGGCTTCAAAATATTCTGATTCCCCTTTATTTTTAAGTTCAAGAGGGAGCCTATCTGCTTCTGCAAAGGCCAACACTTTCCTGATTGTATCTAGCTCTGATGGTGTATTTTCTTTTTTCCAATACTGCGCAAAAGTTGTGTACGCCGCACACTTCATAACAGATTTAACAACTGTGTGACTCACCTAACAACACAGAGATTCGTTTAACAACTTGAGGGATTTACTTAACCATGCGACTCACTTAATAACTGCAGGGATTCACTTAACAACCACGGAAAGAAATCGTACAAGAACAGTTGGAAGAGAGTTTGGAGATCTTCTACTCCAGCCCTCTGTTGAAGCACCACATCCTCCTCCTCCTCCTCCTCCACCTTTTTCTGTTTAAAACAACAGAGTTGGAAGGGACCTTGGGGATCTTGGAGGTCTTCTAGTCTATCCCTTTGTTCAAGCAGGAGACCCTCCTCTCATGTGAATAACAGAATTGGAAGGGACTTTGGAGGTCTTCTAGTCCAACCACCTGCTCAGACTCCCCATTCCTGCTCCTCCCTTTTCCTTCTCGTCTTCCTTCTCCCTTCTCCTCTTCTCCTTCTCTTTCTCCTTTTTCTCCCTTCCCCTCTTCCTCCTCTTCCTCCTTTCTCTTCTTTCTCCTTCTCTTCCATCTCTTCCTCCTCCTCTCCTTTCTCCTTCCTCCTCCTCCTTCTCATCTTCCTTCTCTTCCTCCTCTTTCTCCTCCTCTTCCTCCTCTTCCTCCCTCTTCTCTTCTTCATCCTCCTCCTCCTCTTCCATTTCTTCCTCCTCTTTCTCCCTTCTCTTTCTCCTTCCTCCTCCTTCTCATCTTCCTTCTCTTTCTCCTCCTCCTCCTCTTCCTCCCTCTTCTCCCCTTCTTCGTCCTTCTCCTCTTCCATTTCTTTCTCCCTTCTCCTCTCTTCCTCCTCCTCCTCTTCCATCTCCTCCTCCTCTTCCTTTTCTTCCTCTTTCTTCCTTCTTCTTTTCTTCCTCCTCCTCCTCCTCCTCTTCCTTTCTTTCTCCTCTTTCTCCCTTCTCCTCCTATTCCTTCTCCGACGCCCTGCTCCAGCACAGTGACCCCCATCCGGGAGGCCCAGCCGCAGGGCCCTTGGGGCGGTTTGCCAGGTGGCTTGTCTCCTGTCTAGGTTGAGCACAGGTGGACCACACAAATAATCCTCGACTTACGACCATGGGTGGGTGGGAAGGGTAGAAGAGAGAAGGAAAATTTTGAAGGTGGGTCTCAAACGCAGCACCTCCAAAACTAATAACAGGTCGTCCTGTGTTACAACCGCAACATTTTTGTTCTAAGTAAGACAACGAAGCACTTTTGGGTCTATTTTACGACTCCCTTTCCACCATTGTTGCGGGAATTACTACGCGCGGTGGTTAAATCAGTGGTTGTTAAGCGAACAGGGGAATCACGGAAACCTTCCCCTCTCCTGCCCCCCGAGATGCCACGACCGTCCTAAATACGAGTCGGTCTGAATTTTGATCCCCTGATCACAGGAGAAAAACTGACCTCTTTTTTTCCCCCAGGGCCGTCATAAGATCAAATGGTCACTAAGTGAACTGTTTCTCTTTCATTGTAATCCCCCCCTTTTTTTTTCCACTTTTCAGTATTTGGGCCAAATAACGTCGGTTCCAGGATACCTGAATCCCTCCAGCCGCACCGAAATTCTTCATTTAATCGACACTGCAAAGGTAGGCGACCCTTTCCGCCCGCAAGTCCTCGACTTAGAACCGTTCCAAGTTATGACGGCACTGGGGGGAAAAAGCACGACTTGGGAACATTTTTCACACTTACGACCGGTATTATACACCCTTGTGACCGTCAGAGTGTTTTGCCGCCATTCAGGGAGATGCAAATCTGGAGTCTTGGCAACTGACTTGTCTTTACGACGGTGGTGGTGAATGGGATCTCCTTCGGACAAGTCACAGGGGAAAGTCGGATTCTCTTAACGACTGTGTGACTAATTGAACTGCTGCAGCGTCACGGGGAGGAAAAGCCAGATTTACTTAATGCCCATGTAACTAATTGAACCACCGCAGCGATTCACTTAATGACCTGTGTGACTAACGAACTGCACCGATTCACTCAACGCCCATGTGGATTAATTGAACCGATGCAGCAATTCACTTAATGACCTGAAAGATTGTAAAGTGGAGCGAAGCTCACTTCCCAAGTCACCTCTAGCCCCAGAGATTCCGTGCTCCGTTCCCGTCATAAGTCGAGGACTACCTGTGTTCTCAGTGGAACTATCGAGAAATATTTATGATGTGATCATCCCGAGGTGGAGAAGGGTTCATTTAGTGACTGAAGTTACGAACGCGACTAAGGGTCATGTTTCGCGCTTACGACCACCACAGCATTCACCCCAGCAGTCAAGAAATCCTAGCTTGACTCATACTTACAACGATGTCCCTCAGGATGCCGTGATCCCCTTCTATGGTCCCTGAACAAGCCAAGTCAATGGGATTCACTTAATGGCTGGGGGAATTAATTTAAGAATGGCAGTGATTCACTTAAGGAATCAGGCAAGGAAAGGCGTAAAATGAAGCAACTTTCCCTTATCCCACGTCCCTCTTAGAAACGTATATTTTGGGGCTCCGTTTGTGGTCGTAAGTTGAGGAGTAAATGTATTGACTTGCTCCCACTGAACAATCTCATTTGAGTTTCCGTCCTGACATAAGAGGACATTTCACAATCTAATACAACCAGTCCTCGAACCTACGACCACACAGAGCCCGGAACTAAGAGATATTTGCGAAGTGAGTGTGACTCCATTTTACCGACTTCCTTACCACCGTTGTAAGGTGAATCGCTGCGGTCGTTAAGCGAGGGGTGCGGTTGTTAAGTGATTTCGGTTTCCCCCTTGATTTTGCTGGTTGGAAGAGGGACGGCTTGAGCCTCCCCAGGATGCTGCGACCGTCATAAATACGAGTCGGTTATCAAACGTCGGAATTTATAGCGTGTCACTGTGGGATTTGCTGCAATGGTCATAAGTGTGAAAATCAGTCGCGAGTCATTTTTTTTCTAGCAACTTCAAACAGTCAGCTATAAGGGGGAACTTCAATGAGAATACCTCCTACTCCTACTCCTTTCTAGCACTGATGACATTCCCTAGTTAGGTCATGAGACGTCTGCAAGGAAACCACCCAGTTCAGACAGCACCCAAGGACTCCACAGTCCTTTTCCTCCTCCTCCTCCTCCTCCCCTTCCTTCCTTCCTTCCTTCCTTCCTTCTCCGACACCCCCACTTCCTAGTTAGCCCACGAGATGTTTGCAAGGAAACCACCCAGCTCAGAGGGCACCAAGGATTCAACAGTCCTCCTCCTCCTTTCCTTCCTTCCTCCCTCCCTTCCTCCCTCCCTTCCTTCCTTCCTTCCTTCCTTCCTTCCTTTCTTCCCCAACACCCCCACTTCCTACTTAGCCCACAAGATGTTTGCAAGGAAACCACCCAGCTCAGAGAGCACCAAGGACTCCACAGTCCTCCTCTTCCTCCCTCCCTTCCTCCCTCCCCCCCCCCCTTCCTTCCTTCCTTCCTTCCTTCCTTCCTTCCTTCCTTCCTTCCT